CCACCGATGGTCAGCTGAGGCGTTTAAGGGAGTTGCTAAGCTGTTGTCCACCTAGTGGATGTCAAGCGGTGACAGACTACGCCTAGAACTTGGTAGAATGATTTCTACAATGTTCAAAAGTAAGCGTTCTATGATTTTATAGAGCTGCTGAAAGAGTGATAAAGTGGGTTACTAGTTGATAACCAAACTTCTCAATAGCAAATTGAAGTAACGCCTAGATTAGAGAATTTAATTTCTTGATTTATGGTAGCCTTCAACTAGGAGTATGAAGTTGGCTTTTATTAGCCAATTGATTACATCCAAAGTCTTGCTGAGATGGGTTTCATCTATTGAATGCAAATTTTAGTGAAGTCAATCACGATGAAGCTATTATTTCATTTAATATCAGCACTTTAGTAGAAAGCTGAGGTTCAAACCAAATACGAACGCGAGTTGATTAGTTATTTTTATAACTATCAACATCAATCGCCAATAGTTACCTGGTTGATCCTGCCAGTAGTCATATGCTTGTCTCAAAGATTAAGCCATGCATGTCTAAGTATAAACAAATTTGTACTGTGAAACTGCGAATGGCTCATTAAATCAGTTATAGTTTATTTGATGGTACATTACTACATGGATAACTGTGGTAATTCTAGAGCTAATACATGCGTTAAAATCCCGACTTACGAAGGGATGTATTTATTAGATACAAAACCAATTCGTGGCAACACGATATTGGTGAGTCATAATAACTTTTCGAATCGCATGGCCTTGAGCCGGCGATGCATCATTCAAATATCTGCCCTATCAACTTTGGATGGTAGGATAGAGGCCTACCATGGTTTTAACGGGTAACGGGGAATAAGGGTTCGATTCCGGAGAGGGAGCCTGAGAAACGGCTACCACATCCAAGGAAGGCAGCAGGCGCGCAACTTACCCAATCCCGACACGGGGAGGTAGTGACAATAAATAACAATACAGGGCTCTTTTGGGTCTTGTAATTGGAATGAGTACAATTTAAATACCTTAACGAGGAACAATTGGAGGGCAAGTCTGGTGCCAGCAGCCGCGGTAATTCCAGCTCCAATAGCGTATATTAAAGTTGTTGCTATTAAAAAGCCCGTAGTTGAATTTGAGGAGTAAAGTTTAGGTCCATTGAAAGATGAGTACTTTAACTTTATTCCTTCCCTTGTAGTGAACTATATTG